CGCTGGTTTTCCCACGCGGGGAGAGGTCGGCGACCCACGTGAGCGCGTCCAGAACGAACCCCGAATTCCACAGGCTCGGTGACGGCCGCCCCAGTTAAGCTTCATAAAAGTAATGTTACATCTGAGAAGCAGCTGTGCATGCCACACATCAGTGCCAGTGCCATATAAAAATCATCATATGCTGTACCTAATTGTTTTATACACAGGTGAAATGAAAAATGTTAAGTCAGTACCTTGCAATATCATTTTACCGGTGCTGCTTTGTGGTAAGTGCTGGATAGCAAATCACATTCTTGTACAGTTCATTAAACTACGATAAAAATATGCAAATGAAGACTCCCTACAGGCCTCTTACCTGCTGCAACAAAGACACTTTGTTTTGTGGGGCTTGGTTTAAAACGTGATCCAATTTCTTCCCTCTCCCCAGCGCAAGATATAAAACTATACCCAAATTCAGTAAGAATTTAACGCATTTACATTTATGGAAGTTCCCGTGCTGCAAACAGGATCCGCATTGAAGACCTTCAAATCTAGGGCAAGAGGTCCTTAAAAAAAAAAACCCAAACCAACCCAACCCCTTTTGTTAGACCAAGATGTCAGGATGCAGGTGGGAACCACCACCGCGACAGCACGTTGACGTAGCCACAACGCACGCCGCTTGCCGTTTCCTCCGCGGGAACGCGGGCGTCGCCACGCTGGCCGCGCTCGCCGACTGCCCTGCCCCCAGCCACAGCCGGCACAAACCCTGCAGCAGAACCGGCCCGGAGAGGGGGATGCAGGCGGTGGTTTGCTTATGCCTCAAAGCACAAGGACTTGTGATGGGAGGGAAACACCCAGCTGCAAGCGCCGCTATTCTGTAGTTAATAAAAATGTTATTTATTAGAAGTAGAAAATCAGGGTATTTACTTTGGATGAAACCCTCGTTATCCTGTGCGCGCTACTTTTGTAAAATTGCCACTGAAGCAGAGATCACCGGTCACCTCTGTACCTCTTCCACAGGCAATATTTGCTGACAGTGTTACTATACATTCATTTGGTGCAATGCTTATTTAAACAACTTTCAAAATATATTAAAAGATCCTCAGCCCATGAATCACAATGCCTCAAAACCAAAAAATGGTAACAGTCCCAACTAAAAAGGATTTCAATAACCACTTAAGTGTTTCTTGGATATGAAGATCAATCTCCAAAAGACAAGTTTGGTTCCAGGAGAGCGAGGAAAGAAATGGGGGTCAAGGTTCTGGGCCACGTCTGCGAGAGAGGCTGCGAGCAGCCAAAAAGCAGCAACGAGCTGGAGGTTTCAGAGCTCTTGCAGGAGCGAACCTCGCACCATCCCAGAGGAGCAGGAGAGCACTGATGACCGCTTTAGAAACCGCGCAAGTTAATCTTCCAGCTGGGTGGAGAACAGAAGCGTCCTTGAAACGGTGTAAAGATCAGCGAACCGTGAAGTAGCTGGGTAATCTTGTGTGACCATTTCCACGGGGAGATGCAGCAATCTTGAAGGAAGACTCAGGCCGCTGCTCGCGAGGAGAGAAAGCCCGGCAGGCTCTTTGGACCGGGCCAGACACGAGAGGTTTATTAGGAGAGTTACGCTAGCTCAGTCTCACAGGTCAAGGCAATCAAGGCCCACGTTGTAAAGTGGCCACTGGCATTTTTTTCCAAATATATCCCTTTAAATGCATCTCCTATAAAGAGAGTATAAATATGAAGCCCTGAGAACAAACTTCCATATAGTACATTTCTATTAAAAAATATCACTGTTTTGATGACAAAATTATAAGTTATATCTGTTTAAATAAATAGCTAGCTAGCTTTCAAGAGTCATGTAATACCAAACCATAGAAGATTGTCTGTATCAACTGATGGGGCAAAGAGCTAGCACTGTAAGACAGTCACTGCATCGCATGAGCCACCTACCACCCTGTTTCCTTACTTCCAAATATTCCCTTGACCACGTTATGAGACGCTTAACTATGACGCCTTTGCTAGTTATAACTTGAACACCAGAGATGCAAGCACAGGACTTGAAGCTGTAAATCCTTACTTCTGTGAGTAGTTCCTCCTCACAAAACTTTTTTTTTTTTTTAAACAAAACCTCCTGTTCCCACATGCTTAGGGACCTCTCACTGGCCCACAGCCCAGACCCACCAGTCCTCTGCCCTTCAGCCACAGAACAGGCCAGTTTATCACCAGGGAAAGCTCTTACCACGCACGCTCCTTCTGCCTGGAGACCCATCTGCACAATAGCTGTGATCTTTCAGGTTTTCTTGCAGGTTTTGTAAGAACTGGGATAATCAAGGCCTTTGTGGGCACAGCGGACTCAACTCCCCCCTCCGTTTACTGTGCTGAAGCAGCAGCACACCCAGGTGTGACGGGGGCACACAGCTCCCTCGTCTGCCACTAATTCACACCCTAACACCACCACTGATGTCCTGATCAATTCCGCAAGTGTCTGTTTAACCACAAGGGTAGTTTTTGTTTGTTTTAAATCACCTCCTATGCCTTGCTGCAAACATCACACCTCCGAAGTTCTGTCCACTGGAGACTGAAGTTCTTGAAAGACAAGCAGGACTATGTTAAAGCCATACCAAGCGCGATGACTGTTTGGCAGATCAGGAAGAACACAGTCTCCAACACTTCAGCTGTGTAACTGTTGAGCTCTGGAATAATGAAATCCAGAGCTAACCACACATTCTCAAGCCTTCAAGCATTTTAAAGATGCAGTATTCCTTTATCCCTAAGGGCTCTAACTGCTGCGGCAACACCAGGTTGTGTTGTTGAACCTGGGCATTCTTACCGTCTTCTAAATACCTAAGCACGACTTGCTTTACTGATGCTTTTTTCCTCGCTTTATAAGAGGTTCAGTGGCACTGATTCTGTTCTGGCACACCAAGGGAGGCAGCTCCGGTAACTTTTATCACCCTGATCAAACTGACACCGAAGCACACGCACAGTTCAGCACCAGGTCCTGGCAGTATCGCGCTCCGATCCCGCTGCTGTGGGGCTGACGCAGAGATACACAAGCAGCAGAACCCTTACCCTTAGACGTGCACGACTCTGCTCCTCCGAAGCAGGTCAGACACCGGGTATCAGGAAGGCACCCAGCTTCAACCCCCTCAAAGTCAGGGAGCTGCTTCAAGCCCCTCATCCACATTGCCCTGGCAGCAGCAACAGACAGTTCTGGGGGCAGCTCCTCCCATGCCAGCAGAGGCAAGATGGGTTGCTCACTCTTGCCCTATGGCTAGTCACCTAGGTTCTGCCAGCAAACCAGATGCCAAACCTTTAGATGACTCTAAAGTTGCCAGAAGATCCTTGTCTGGTCTGTCTAGAAGCTCTACAGCCACTCCAGAGTCTGATCATGTATCACTGAAGTCAAAAGAAGCATTTCAACAAGCCTTCATGTTCTTCAAAGACCAAGACTGCTACCGACGTATCTGTTTGGTAAGTCTGAACCTGTACTTATTCATTCAGAAGCCAACCCCCCCCAAACCACAGGGTAGCTTTTCCCAGCTTTGTCTTCTAAGAACATTCATTAAAAGGCATATTTAGAAGAATCCTGATTGGTAGAGAAGGACATGTACCTCTAAACATTAAGAGCTTCAAGTAGTAGTGTCTTCTGGTAGTATTACGGGCAAAAAGCTTCAGGGAGTAAGAAAAAAAATGGACAAAATAATCAAAACCTTTCATAACACTACAACATTCAGTCACAACTACTCACGAGTAGTTGTGCTGAACTCAGTGGGTTGCAGGATCAGGTTCCTAGCTTTTGCAGTTCTAGGACGAGGTTACAATGTCATGTCATGCTGTCGATCTGCTCTTAGCAAAACTCCAGGACAATGGTTTTACCATCCAATTTGAACAGAAGAAGCATCTCTATAAAAAGCTTGGAATTTCTAAATGTAGAAGTAAATATTTCAGCAGTCATGAACTGTAAAGCTTCATATGAACTTACAAATAACAACAAAAAAATTATCCTGGGATAGTAAGTCAAGATAAAAATCTCATGCTGTTTGATTTTCCCACCCTTCATATTAATGATGTGAAACTGGCAACTTCAGTGCCTTGACTGCATAACAGCGTAGATTAGATGCCAAGTTCAGGCCAAAACTTGTTGTAGGGTTTCGGGTTGCATCTTGTTGCGTTTTTGTTTAATAAACCCAACTGCACAAGAAAACCACCCACACTTAAAGAGGGGACTTGCAGAGCTCTTGGGGACCTCTCTGTTCGACAGGACACCTTTGTGCTATTTAAGGACAGGGTCTCCATCTGGTTACTCTGCATTTTGGAGAGGCAGATCTTGCCTAGCCTGCCTTCCCAAACAGGGCTGTGAAACGCAAGCCGTGGCAGGGATTATGACAGATGTCAATCACGTTTCACTAACTTGAAAACAAAACACATTTTTGTTCAGCCTGTTAAAAAAGTAACACCTGCAGAGCCCAATGATAACAAAAACTAGCTGGACAGTCACCGGTGAGTTCTGCTCTTAAGAGCTCCCAACTCCTGTCTGCAATCTCAAGTCAGTCTTCTAACAAAATAGGAAAGACACAGCCTGACATCCTTGGGATTTCCAAGGTAAAAATAAGTGTCAAGAAAACACACTTCTATCTCAAAGAAGATCATAATTTCAAGCGTGCTTTTAAATACGTTAAACAAGATAAAAACCTAAGCGGTTCTGCTTCTTTACAGATCACCAATGAAAAACCCATGCAAATTAGTTGCTTTTTTGTAAACCGGTTGAAACAAAGTCAAAAAACACAAGTCTCCCTTTCCAAAACTGTGCACATAAAAATGGAAAAAACCCACTACGTGAATATATCCCTCCTTGCACTAGGAGATGGCAGAGCATGAACTTATGAACTGCAGCCTACTTGAGAATCCAAGCCTTGGTGTAGCGAGTTCTGTCGTGAAAGAGATACTGCATCTTTAACGTAGCTGACGGAGAATCTCCTACAAGTATAACCACTGTGGGACTGCAACAACACTAACGCAGAAAATAAATAGGAAAAAGTAATGCTATTTATTAAAAGAATTCCATCTCTGAATTATTCTGTTTAAATTATAATGCAAGATAAACAAGTTTGGATAGAAATGTGCTTGCTCTCCCAATATTTGGACTTTTAAAAAACATTTCCTAAGAATCAATTTAAAAAAGCATTTCATAATTTGATATAGCCATAAATTAATACTGTATGGAGATGATTAATATCCTATGCTAGTGGTCAGTGACCTTTTGTAAACACTAGCCAGATGCTAGCAAAACTGGCTAGAAAACTACTGCCACAGGCCTTTTTAACAAGCATTATCATATTTCTTTCCAACAATCAGATTCTTAATTGTTTTCACAAAACCTTTTCCTATTTTTTGATATACTTTATTTTAAACCTAATACCTGAAAACATAAACAAGTCTTCAAACCTCTTCCACTAACACTAAATCCACAAGGCAATTAGCTTCGGTTGGCCATAACTACATAAGCTCTCGTGCGAGAGACCCATTCAGGCAGGATCTCCCCCACCCCCTTCCATCTGCCCCCCTCCCCAAACAACCCGTGCACCCTCCCGGTGAGGAGAAGGTGAAGCGAGGGACAGTAGGAAGCGGCACAGTGGACTGGCATTCCCCTCTACGTGCGATTCAGTGTCTGGAAGATTCGAGAGATCTGTAGCATGACGGGCCCAGTTTCTGGATCGTTCATCCACTGAGTGCTGTTCAAGGGGTTTTCAAGCATATCCTCGAAGGCTGCCAAGAGATGGAGATTGCAACACTCAATCCTTTAGTCAAAGGCTTCAATGTTTGGGATGCTTCAACAACAGGACAGTTAGAAATAGCTGCAACTCAAAGGCCGTGGGCAAGCATCACCCCAAAATGGGAATACACATCATACATTTACCATTCGCCCTCCTAAGTCTCCACAGACTGGGATGCTACAGGCTGTTAGGCTTTCCCCATTGCTCAGCATTAAATTCACTGCAGACAGAGGGTGATTAAATACTCAGCCTGGATTATAGTCCATCTTACAAAACCTCAAGGACATAGGTTTGAAGAGCTAAAGCCTTTGCAAATGTCTACATGCAGGGAACATGCTATGCAATTCATCCATTTATGAGACCCATCTTAGATCTGGGTCATTTGCTGCCAACATTCCTATGGGAAGACTCTTCTGTAGCTCCAGTCATCTGATCAAAGATTCTCCCCATCCCAGCCTAAATTTCTTAATGGCTAGTTCTTGCACCAGTATCTTTCTCCCCCCGGTACCTAACCAAGGCAGTTCACAGAAAGCACTCTTACCCCCTTGCCTCTGTTACCTTTGCTTTCCTATGCTGCGCTTTGGCTGTCCTACGGCTACTCTCTCATAACATTCTCTGAGAAAACCAAGCCAGCAAAATAAGAAGCAGGTATGCCAAAGGCTACCCAGGAATAAGCAGCAGAGCCAGTGAAAGCGTAGCCCCTTAAGCCCCCAAATCTCAGAGCTCTCTCTTTTCACAGATGCCGCTGGAGCCAGAAGGGAAGCAGCATCTTCCCCCTGCGCGGCATGTGCTTTCTCCTTCCTGGTGTTCGGAGAGTAGAGGATGTCGGGCAGGCAGCCAGTTCCACCTGCCCAGACACAGGCAGAAGGGGAAAGGCTGTCTGTGAAGAACCATCACCTCCATTTCTGAACAGTGACAGCGATCCAAATATTTAAGAGCATTCTTTTCTTTCTATACACATCTGTCTTTGCAATAAGCTTTTTTTTTTTTTAATATGCTCATTTTCACTCTTCTACTTATATTGAAGGAACCAGACAGCTACTGCAAGAGCTAAGCTGCAAATTTGGCAGAAGAATGGCCCAGGCAATAATTTATAAGCCTTATGACAGACACTGAGCTGGACTACTGGACATATGGAGCAGTCATTATGGAACAGGACAAAAAAAGCAGTTGCACATCTGACCTATTCAGAAGTCACCAAAATGTCAGTGTTGTAAGAGTCTGGCAGACCGGCACCAAGGTCAGCGTCTTAATTTTCCCAGGAGCGTTAGTGTACAAAGCTCCAACTGACATTAGCGGGAGCTGTAAGCACCCAGCACCTCCGAAAGGCTCATCATTAATACCTTGCTCAAGGTCATGCAGCATGCCTACAGAAAAGCCCAGAGTAAAGTACAGATCTCACTTTTCACCACTTTAACTATGTTCTTTTACAAAGACTCAAGAGCTTAAAACTGAAGCTTTATCAACATTCTGTAAGTATCTAATTAAATGCAAACATTCATTATTAAAAGCTGTGATATAAGCAATTTGCAGATGTATCATTAGGAATATATTCTCTGATGTTCATCCCAGCTTTACAAGCGCGTATAATGGCATTTCGTTTTCTATTTATATTCTGAGCTGCAGTGTGGAACCGTCGTTGGAAATGAAGAGACCATTTGTTCAGAAATCAGGGTGGGAAGGTTCTGCTCTTGAATTATTTAAAGGCTTGCAAACTCTCCTAATTACATTTAAAGCAGTATTTTTAAAAGCTCTCTTGGAAGAGCTGCACATACCCCCTTTATTTAAAAGCAAGCCTTCAAATAAATTTTGAAGCCAAAGACTAAATGCAAAACTTTCTATATACATCACAGAGCCAATGTCATTCTTCTGTACTGTCCTCTAGCGTCAGAGGGACCAATTCGGCAGAGATTTACGTTTCCCTGTCAGGGTCATCAGCTGGGTACTTGCTGTGCTCACAGCCTTTCTGACCACGAACACACAGACTTCACCACAGAGCTGAAAGCCAAGTAGGGGGAAGTGTATTTTCACATACGTTATCTCAACTTTGATAGGCAAGGCCTTAGCTCAGACTTCTTGTTTGGTTACTCTTCCACAAGTTATCTTCCGTCTCAATGATCAGGCCTCAGCACACAGCAAGCTGTACAGCAGGAGACAGCCTTGTTTTTTCTGTCAAATAATCAGAGTTCAGACAGACATTCCTGATTTTTCCCCTTGTGGCCAAAGGGAGCACACAAAAGGTCTCCTAAATCCACAAAAGTGTTGCAGCCAGCAGCTATTAAAGTTCCGAGTTCAGCAAGTGTAATCCGGTAGCCTGGGGAATTGGTATCACTTCTGGGACAGCCCCAAGTTCTGTTCTGGGTTTTGCTGAGTTGCAGTATGAAGCAAACAAACAATACAGCTGCTGAAAGTGGGGAAAAGGGTACAGAGCTGCACCTATCCTACAAAGCACGCTGTCATCATCCAGTCTCAGCTCTTATTTGCTAGCAGCTACAGAGACAGTATGTATATATACACAGTGTGTGTGTGTGTATATATATCTATATATATCAGGAACCCAAGCAGGACTTACCTAGTAGAGTTTTAGGGTTGGTTAGCCCTAACTGTACCACTGGGTTTTCTAAGATGGCTTGGAACAGAGGGCTATTGGTGTCAATTCCCTTATCTAAGTCCTCTGGAGAAGGCTTTCTGTCTCCCAGCAGCCATTCACACTGAAAGAAATCACCAGGCACAACAGATTTCGTGATCGGTTCCATCAGAATGAAAGTGTCTCAAAAGTTTTGACAATGTGTCACATTAAAAATATTTTTTCCTCTCACAGTAAAGACAGAGCTATACATTTCACACCAGATTGCTATTCATTTGCGTGTTGCTCCCAAACCTTTACTTCAATGGGAACAGCAGCAGTGCCTGGTTTGGTAATAAAATTATACCAACTTTGGATGTTTCAAAGCTTGAGTAAGATACCGCACATCTTCCCTATGCAGTGCCTCAAAGGAACCCTGTCAACATGGGTACAATCCGTCAGCCTGAAGTACCATCCAGCCCAATATCCTCTGACAGTAGCCAGCACTGGATGCTTAAGAGAAGACTCCTTGCCTATCAGCTGTGTCCACATAATTTTCCTTAACATACCATCCACTAGCAGGGGACTAATCAATCTTTAAAAACTTTCATATTTTTTGATTCCATAAACTGTGGAATACATTGCTGCAGAATGGTACTTTACATACCGCACGGCTTGACTCTCTTGCTTCATCGTTTATTCCTGTCCTTTAATCAGTTATTAATTATTGGGAATACCATCTCCTTCTCATGATAGCATAATCTCTTTTGCAGACTCCCTCTTTTGAGGGAGTTTCTCAAAAGCTTTTTGAAAATCCACATATGCTATCCCAACCAGATCAGCCTCAACCTCAGGCACACTGAGTTCCTCCTAGTTCCTCTAAGAAGTCTAAGCCCTTTGTATTCCTGTTGTATATCTAATTTGAAAGAGGCACAGAATATATAGTGCTCATTTCATCTCCAGTAACAGTTGGGCTTTCCGATAGATCAAAATATCAACCAATTCAATGATGAAAAGAATCAGTTGAGCAGACTATTACAGCAATAAGGAACAGAAACGACATTGTACTCACGGCTGCATTTTGCTGGTTGTTGTTTACTCTGAGTGCATCTACCACTTCTTTTTCATCAAATCCCATCTCCATCAGGGCAATGACAGCCTGTATTAGATTTGCACAGATTAATAAATGTAACATTTAAAACAGAAATGAGAACAATCACATCCTTTCACCTTCTGTGCAGGAGCTTTTTGTGGAGTAAAAAAGCTCCATTGTTTCCATTTGTAGACCACTAAGTAATCTAATCCACAAAGTCTTCAAATACTCTATATCAAAAGTGCCTTTATTATGGAAGAAAAAGTCTTAAGAGCAAAGGTAGTTCCTATCCTCAGCCCTGAAAGCTGAACGCAAGGCAAAGAGCAAGTGTACCTGGGGTAGAAAGGAGAAGCGCAGGACAGAAACACCTTATTTTAGAACTTCTCTCATGTCACAAAGCTTTGTTCACATCTCACTGACAGATCAAGCTCCACATTCATTTGCAGTTCTATTCACTCAATTTAATTTTACTTCCTGGATTATTATATTGCTAGTGAGGGTTATGTATTTAGACAGGCATACCTAGATATTGTTATGAGAATGTTTAATCATTTAGAAATTGTACTCAGGTCATCAAATACATTTGCAGCTTTTGACCAAAATCACAAGAAACAGCTAGCTGTAAAAGCAAAGCGTTGGATTCTAAAGAGCACCTCCTGGTGAATTTACAGCGTGATAACACCACATATTTTCACTTCAGCTAATACTGTGTTCTGAAAAAAGGCTAACTTCTGAATTTGCTGCAAGACTTAAATCTGCTGGTGATACTTTTGCTTGCTCCCTACATACAATAATGCTCTTCTGTCCTTTTCTACAGCAAAAGGACATACTCCTCTGCTGCAACCCTTCCTTCCCATGCAGCAGTCATAAAAAGCAATGCCAGGAGTCTGGCAGCTCATTTCAGTCCGATCAGTTAATTTTCAGGTGCAGAAGTAACAGTGTGAGTAATTTAGATACTGTTCTCTGAGACAGCGATGCATTAATTCGGTACTATCCCTTTCAGCAACCTGAATTTAAACAGTCCCTGAAGACTTCCACTAAAATACTGTCAAGCCAGCAGAACATACATCTTCCCAGATGTCCCATTTCATTTATTAATTAAACATTTATTTCGATTACAGGGTGCCCACACAGTCCCTTCCAATCCTAACAGTTACATAAATAGCGAGATAAACAGCCCGTACCCGTGGGTCTGGACGAAACTCTCTTTTCCTCCGGATCTTCTTGAATATTTCTGTCAGCTCATCCTTGGCCTCTTCCCCACCTGCTTCTGAACTAGAACCTGCAGTCGCTTCAGCAGAGGATGCACCAGCTTCAGCGGGGGATGCACCAGCTACAGCTGTGGCTTCTGATGGAGTCTGACCTGGAAGTGGAGCATCCACCGTAGGGTCATCTGCGTGTTCTATCAACCACTCCATGGCCTGTGTCACTGACATACTGAAAAACAAATTAAAACACGAGGGTGAGAAACACTCCAGACGTAGTGTTCCACACACATTTGCCTTTGCATTTATTCCCGTGGTATACTGACTTGCAGGTTAACTAGCATCTGAAAAATCATAAATAAAGTTTTGGAGCAAATCCCAGAGCACCTTAATTCTCTGTGCATACCGGCCACTACAATCTTCACTGAAGCCAGGAAGACAGAGGAATGAAGTTCAACTTGGACAGCTGCAACCCAGATTTTAAAAAGGCATTTCTGAGGGAGTTGCCTTATTCTCCACGTCACCTGCTCTATTTCATAGAATCGTTTAGGTTGGAAAAGACCTTTAAGATCATCAGGTCCAACCGTTAACCCAGCACTGCCAAGCCCACCGCTAAACCATGTCCCTAAGCACCACATCTACGTGTCTTAAATCCCTCAGGGATGGGGACTCAACCCCTTCCCTGGGCAGCCTGTGCCAGGGCCTGACAGCCCTTTCACAACAAACACTGACTATCTGCAACTGTCAACAAAACTGCAAACAAAGCACTTTCCAAATTTACATGGAACCGCCTCTCAGATGCAAGCTGCTTTGTTGTTTAAGGAGATCTATCTCAGACACCCATCCGTCCAGTGGTCAAGGAATGCCATTAACAACGCAAGAAAGAGGGTGAAAAACATTACATGTGCACCACATGCCTTCAGCGAGAGGAAAATTCAACACTGGCAATTACACTTGGACATGTACCACTCCAACGTAAGAGTCAATCTGTGATGCCTCAAAGGAGCAGCCAGGCCAAGGGAAGAGAACACCATGACGATAACACGGCCACTCACTATCCACTGCGAGTGCTCAAGCTAAGGGATCTTCCCAATGAATACAGGGGAAGGAAGAAGAACGATAGGGCAACTGAAAATGTAATTTCATTTGACACACGGGAATTATGACATGTTCATAGAAAGGAGAGGGAAGCCTTTGCCTATTTGGCTTTTCAGTTACAACATGAAAGATGGAAGACATCGGGGGAAAGCGTCTTTTTGAGCCCAAAGGGAGAGATGCTGGAAAAAAGTGACTGGAATATGTTGTGGATTCTCTATCATCAGAAATTTTTGAGAATGGCCTAACAAACTCCTCTCAGGAACGAGGCAGTACAGCTGATTCTTCTTAGGAGGTAATGCAGTTCTTCTCATGTCCTATTTTCCTACAGTTGCTGTCTGGACTTTACAATATTCTCGGAATGGTTTTAAAAGACCAGCTTCAAGTATTTTTCTACAGCTGAAAGACCAGTGTGGATGGGCTAGGTTTGCTTTTTTCTCTGTAAAATCTGAATTCTAAAGCAGAAGAAAATGCGAGTTTAATATTTGGAAATAGCGCCAGCCTGGCAGCCTCGCGAACCACCGACCAGCTATTCTTTCCAGAGCAAGTACAGCACTGTTTCCCCTTCCCTGTGCCATCTGCACCTGCGCGCTGCCTGAGACAGCGCTGTTCTTTGAGTTAATGCTTTTTCCAACCTAGTTTCAGGTGACCCACATAAGGATACTTCAGGAAAAAATGCATTTTTTTTTTTTTTAACCATATCAAGTAATTTACAGGCAGTGTGCTGAGTACACTTACTGATTTAATCGAAGGGCTTTGACAGCTCTGCTTTCTGGAAACCCCATTTCTGTAAGCTGTCGCAGAGCTATCTCATCCACTCTGTCTTCCTCATCCTCATCCAGCATGGCTACACATACACAAACAAAACAATGTTCAGATTGACTTCAAGCTAAAATAAAACCCTTTCTCAATGGAATGGCATGTGTTAAGTTCAAACCCCATTCTTCTCTTCCATCCCTGCTTTTGTTTCTGCCCCGAATTTGCTATCTCATCATTTAATTTGCTGCACTCAGCTTGGTCGGGCTCAGATAGATTCTTCCAGGACAAAGACTTTGTCCAGATGCGTTCAAGATCTCAAACGAAAGACAGCTAACTCTCACATTACCATGGTATTTCCACGTAAGTAAATATATAGGAGATTCATTGAAGATCCATTTATCTAGAAACAATGTTGGATCTGGTTGTAGCAGATCAAGGGCAAGCATTTCCCACAAACCGAATCAACAGCTACACTTTCTCCTCATTTTACTATCTCCTTGTGCATTTTCAACTATTCTCTACCACCCCTGAAGTGCAACTCGTGAAGTTTTCCAACTTTTTCACTACTAATGATTTTTTTTTAAATGCAACTTCTCATCCATCCCTGAGGGACCTTACAAATTCATGAGTTTTATACAACCTATCCCCACGAGGTGAAATCTTTGCCACAAAGTTTGTAGTAGCTTTGCTACTCTGCAAGCGCACTCTTCTGCTATAGAAACAACCAAGTTCCCAGGATTGAGCTAGTAACCATAAAGACACGTTCATACCATTTGCCTTCTTAAACAGTTCAACTGCATCTGGGTTCAGTGCTAGCAATTTCTGTGCAACTTCTATGAGAGACACTAATATCTTCCGGAGCTCTGTCTGGAACTGCAAGAAAGGAAACTGTCAAAACATTTAGACAGGAAGTTACCAGACAGCATTAAATCTTAATATATCTGTTGTTAGTACCTCAGCAGTAGTCTGGCCCCCTGTACAGAAGGCTGCTTTATTAGGGCTTTATTTTCATTGTTTAGTCTCTCAAGAAGCACTGAGCCTCTCCTGTGAAATGCTACATGTAAGTAAAAGCTACTGGCAGAAAGTTCCTCTTGTTTCTACCCCAGCTTGCCACCCAGTACCACCACACAATGTGCAGTGTCCAAGAAAACTCATTGCTTCACAGAAACACTTTGACTCCCACCTTGCAGAAGCGCTGTAAGACAACAGTTAGAATACCTCCGTACCAGTGCTACTTGCTTTCTGTGAACCAGTGAGCCTTCCTGGTCTACGACTTGCTTTTTAGCAATCTCAATTTGAACAACAGAGATCAAAGCTATTTTCTAAACGGAAGCATCACAAATTCCTTTCAGTTGGACATTTGTGTTTAAAAATGCCACGCTCAGTAGGTCATGTGGGCCATTAAACAGCTTAAATGCCAGCTGTCCCCTTTAGGTTACCAGGGCACTCTGACAGCATGCAACTTGTAGGCACATTCCCTGCTTCATACCCCTACTAGTACAGAAGGGTAAAAGTAGCCCCCACACTGCTGGAGACACAGTTAGAAGCATTACAGACTATCAGCATTCAATTACTGAAGTCAAAATTTATGCCTACTTTCTCCTTTCAAAACCATGGAAGAGAAAAAGCCCACTGCAAACACCTGAACTATTTAAGACTGAAGAAATAAAAGCCCTAACTTCACGTTTGCCAGATCCTGAATATGTTTACTGAGGTTTTCCCATGGACAAATAAAACATCTAAAATAATAATTTAGAACAGAGTGTTTCATTATCACTAAATAGTATGACCTGCGTCTAAATCTTAAGCTATCTACTTTAACATACATTATATACATCTGAATTTCTCTTACAGAGAAAAGAGAATCACATTCGCATGTAAGAGAAAAGGTTATACATGATAAAAGCCTGTTTGGATGTTAGCGTGCGAGTCAAAAAAGTCAAGTCTAATACTTACATCCCTCATGTTGTGATGGGCCACGGTGCGATCTACATTGCGAGAGGGCAGATTTGCAGTTGCCTTGAGAATAGCATCCTTATCAGGAGCTTTCTGCTCTTGTTTCCTCTGAAGGATAGGAAACATGATCAGGTTTCATAACGCATTATCCACAGAACAGAGAACACAGCACAGCGGAGAGCAGTTTCATGTTCTTCACCAGGGCATCAAGCAGTGCTCTGTAACTTGCAACTAAGAGAAACAGCAGTCTAGCAATACAATGGATTAATAGCACCAGTATCATTTGCAGTTATAGAGCAAAACTGGACCTGTTGGGTTGCCCCACTTTCAGTCCTTCTACTTATTTCTGTTACCTGAACACGCAGGGAAATTCCAGCATAAAGAGGGAAAGTGATGTATCAAACACGGAGAGAACTCAGAGGCCTCAGTGCCCAGGACCATATTTTGCTCCCCATGGTCTGCTCACAGCACGCTCTCTTCAAACCCAGGGATTGTCAAGAGATGTACCAATACTGGGCACAGACTAACACTTAACTGCTTAAGACTGGAAGCGCTTCACCACTTCCAAGTATCACGCGGAGATATATGGTGCTTTGGATTTTCAGTACGTGCTTATAGCCCAGGACAAAACATAACAGGGTACAAACTATAAATATTTCCCAGTCTTATAACTTGTGCTCTTACAGTGACGTTCTGCACAGCAAGACCATACTGAAGAGAGAGACATACACCAATACCTACAGGAAGGGATACAGAGACATACACCAATACCTACAGAAAGCAAGAAGAAACAAAGCTGTGCAAGGACGAAGCAGAGAGACCTAGGAATTCACAGTGTCAAGCACAAGCGTTGCTCAAAGTGTTTACGTGATAACATCAACTGCAGTACCACTCGTGCATAAGCATCATGCTAGGCGCTGCTGACCCTCAGTAACAATTACATTTCAATAAAATAAAATTAAAAAAGAATAGTAAGGGGCCAACACTCCAGCTCTAAAGACCTGGTTAAAGGGTGACAAGCCACACATAGCTAAAGACAGAAGACAGCCTGACAGCAAGTCAACATATTTCTATCGGGTTTTCAAACAGAGACAAAGCAAGGCACTTGCTGAACTACGCTTATACGGTTATTAGACATTTGTGCAAAGATCAAATCTATACCACTTCCACAGAGTGTATCTGCATGTCTTATTGTAAGGCAAATGTTCTCATAATCAAGGCTAAAAATGTAAGATCAGCTTCTTCAAAGTTTGGAAGAAACATGAAGCGATTTCCCTAGAATTTAACTGGCAGCATTTGCCTCTACAAGCAAAAAGAGTACACCACAGTAATCCTTCCCCGTATCATTCATAAAGCAGTTAATCAAAACGGCCAAGTCAAGAAGTCTTTCAAACTCACTTTCTCCTCTGCTGACACATCTGCCATTTTGGGGAGCGGAGGTGGCGCACGCTTCTTTATTAAAAGCAAGACATCTAGAAAAACAATGATACTGAAATACATTAGAAAGTAACGTGAAAACAGGTCGTGTAAGATACTTCACAAACTCAGGTTTTCCTGGAGATGAATTTTGTATTAATTCTACCATAGCATCAGATCTTTTTCACACTTTAAAACCTGCATGGCTTCACACACTCCCCTTCAGTGTTTGCAATTCCTTGGTGCACAGTGAATTCAAAACACGGTCCAGCATTAGTTATGCTTTGCCTGTTACTGGTTTCTTCTCCACACACAGCACTGTTAAGGAAAGGGTATTACAGGCTCCAGTTGTCTTGTACGTTAATAGTACAGCAATTGGCTCATGATAATAAGAAAGCATCAACACTTTCAGTGCTTCCACTGAGAAGGAAGCAGTAGAGACAGGCCACGGACGGTTTTTAGTCTAAGCTGGGGCCTTCCAACCGCAGCAAGGCAAGCACCAAGCTTCAACAAGAACTTCCAGTATCAGGCTTCAGCTCACCTTTGTGTGAGAATGGCAGTAGAGCGATTCACAGGGCAAGTCTCGAGGGCAAATAAGTCTTCAGTCTTAGATATCCCACCTGGCACGAGCTTGCTTTGGACTTTTAAGACTAAGTTTCCCCTTACAAGGCACCCTTTTTCTAGAGATCGTGTAATACTTTACAAGCTTCTAGCACCTCAGTTACTACCACATACATTCGAAGGGTGGAAAGATGCAGACACACTGATTAGAGCCCAAAACGGGGCTGCACAGCATCTGCAGTCCTTCAGCCAGATACGGCCTGACACACAGTTTTTAGTCCATTGTATTAAGCAGGTAAAAAGCAAACAAAGCACGCTTTGCACAACAAGTTTCCTTGGTCTGGCTCGGCACATAACAGCCAAGAGCAACAGCAGGTGAAGGCTGGTAACCCTCATTTGTCCAGCTGATCAGAACACGAAAGGATCCACACGCTGACTCTTGGCTGCCCTGTGCAGTCAGTCGGTGGCAACCAGCTGTTGGCTGCAATCTTGTCTCCCTGACAAGCACGGCACATGGAAGGTAGAGCACATTGCAGAGGGAAAAGCAGCGAAGAAGCATTCGCCTGACAGCTTACTATGACTACACAGTTAATACTGCTTAGCTGCTGCAAACTGCAATTCAAAACTCTGTAGGAGCCGGCACCTCGCCTAGAAATAATACACCACCATCAGCAAAAATGCTGTCCCTCGCCTTTGCCTAAGATGGCACTTCTCAGCTCCTGCTCAGCTCTAAAGGTGATAGGTGACGACACTGCCTTGGAAGAGAGACCAAACTGCTCGTGTTCATAGCAGCAGTTCTCCAGCCTGCATGAACTCAGGCAAAAACCCAGGAACTCTACTCGGGCTGAGCTTCTGGTTCAGCCAACATTTCGGTCTACAGCAGTCCTGCTTCTCTCACTTTCTGCACCACTGCCCTCTATCTCCAGAAGGTGCCATTAAGCTGTCTGGTAAAAACCGACTCCAGCTATCATCTTTAGATCTTCTTTTGGTTCACATTAATCCTTTACACTTTTCAAGTTCAAGAACAAATACATACCTTACATACTCTACCATAGTCAGTGATACTACAGTGTGATGGATTCTGACCTCCATTTGCAGAGGACAGAACGAGATCTAAACTGCAGACACTCAGATACGCTTCAGCAACGTCCTTCTGCCTGACCTGGAGACCTCAAGACCGACCCCAAAAGCATTGGGTTGTCTTCTTGGAATACTCAGATGTGATAACTATTTCTGAATGATAAATGCTGCCCTGGAGGTTTAAAAAAGTCCTTTAAAAGGCAATAAAGTAATCTGTTTAGCTTATCAACTTAATGAACACTCCTAATTCCTTTTCAACTCATAAAAGGAAGAGTGAAGAGAAGCAAACTGCTCAATGTGCTTTCTCTGGGGGGGGGGGGGGAGAGGAAAAAAAAAAAGTCTTTTTTCCTCTTCCTTTTTTGCCACCTTATTAGTTTCCTGTGTCAAAGCAGAGAGTAGATATTAAAAAGGTTACTGTTTGGAACTCGCCAAATAGTGAAACACAATCTCATGTTTCCAGGCTGACAGGATTAAAAAACAGACAGTCTTACCTCTATCTTGAATGTTTTCCTCCAACACTGTTTTTGTGTCTGTCAGCACCTTCTCAGAAGTAGCATGTATCAACTTATGATGTGTCACAGTTTTTGGATCCTCCAAGCTCCCAGGTACACACTGCAGAAGATAATAAATATTGAAGATCAGAAGACAGAAATAAGCCTACTGCATGAATCACTGCACTTTGCACTTAAGATTCTCCATGTACAAACCGTGCCATCACTTACTAGCTTCTTAATAGCTTAAGTAACAGCACAATACGCTAGAGGCCAGTGCACAGGATATATTTTTTGAAAGAAACTGTGGCTTGAATTGTGCTGTAAGGATATTGACTGTCGTAGGTTTCTACCTGCATATCCAAGCTCCTGGCTGGGAAGAATAATCAACAACAGGAAGGATTCTAGTGGTCCTTCCTTGATGCTGTTAAATTAATAGCTACATCAGGGAGCTGGACTCGATGATCCTTACGGGTCTCTTCCACCTTGAGATATTCTGCAATTTCAGTTCCAACTGATTATGATGCTCTAAAAAACTTCTTTAAATAGCCAGTTTCAAAGACCTAACATTACAGCCCAACTGCCCCAAATGAGCCCTTCAAGGGCACCAGCCTGTGTGAGTGGATTTATACTTCTGTAGTACAGTACAACTCTACCACACTTAATTCTGAGTACTTGGTCCTATACTCAGGCCTAAGGGATCTGGAGCAAAGCAAGGATGCTCTAGGACCCACAGCTACATTAATGCTCCAACAGACCGCTAAGGTCACTCGCCCTTAGTGAGAAGTCTAGGGGTAGCAATTAGTACCATGAACAAAGAATGCAAATCTACAAAGAGCATCCAGTGTTTTTACAGAAGGGAAGGCTATAATAACGCAGCATATTTCTCATTTGTAACTAGGGTCAAAATAGAGGAGAGACTCTGCTTCATCTAATACTTACTATTAACACACAGTCAGACTAAACAAGCAACTGCCAGCAGTGATTTTGGTATACTTGACCTTTAACTGGGAAGGGAACAGCAGCTTCTGCACCTTGTTTCAAGCTGAACTCAACGGATTTGGCTGCTGGAGCCCTAACCTGGGTTACTGCTGAAAGCGCTGGACAAAAGTTACATTCACAACTTTTCTTCCCAACCATACATAATCAGCATACAGTAGATTTTTTCATATATGAATGTTGTGCTCAATTCCTCATTACAATTCTAAATGGTATGTCCATTAATTCACTAGAAAATCAAGTTCAAATCCTGAAAAAAGAGCGCGTGCACACACCAGCCTTGAGCTGACTCATCTTCACACCAGAGTGGCTCCCAGATCCACAGTGACCCACAGATTTCAAGAACATTACATCAGTACATCTAGAGTCTTCTAATTTGTTTGAGTGGAAAAAGAAAGCATAGTGGTTGCAATTCCAGAAAGGCAAAATTAAAAATAACAACCTACCAAACCCACAAAATTGATGCTGCTGTTCTCGCCACAATAGGACACTTAATACTGACCTCACCTGCTCTGCCCACAGAAAACAGCTTTTAATGACACTTCTTTCAGTACATGTTTCTACCAAGCACTTTTACCGTGTCTGCAGAAGAGCGCGTTCACGCTTCACGTAACAGAGCCATTTCCAGAAACCCCACTGAAATCGCTGCTTCACTTTGATGTAGCATTTAGTCCTGCTCATCATCACATGTATCACCAGCCTCCCTCAAAGGAATCCTTTTAGTCCATCATCACCTTTCCTGCTGCAACTGCAACTGATGAAAAACTCAGCTACCTGCTCCTTTTCCAAACGTAACACACTCACTTTCAACGTGGATCTTCAGCTCCTCATCTGAACTTCTGTACAGTTCTGATGCCTCAATAAGATTGAGGCGAGAATGTTTTAGTCCTGCTTTGTATAGCAGTAACTTCTTACTAATCCTTCAGCATATTAACTGCTGAACAGAAGCCAAAAAATGCATTAAAGCCTAGAATCAGCTGGGAGTACCTCCTGTAATTGATCTGATAAGTTATCCAAAACACGTAAGAGTACATCAGTGGAACATCTCCTCTCCGAACAAGCTCAAAATATTACTGTTACAGATCCTGAGAGTCAGATCCCAAAAGGAAGAACTTGAAAATGGGAGCTGGAAGGTGCATGTTTGGGGCGGGACGGGATGGGACACGACACGACCTATTATCCATTTTTTCCCCTAGCACATATAAGGGGGGGTGCGTGTGTGCGCAATCGTAATACTTACTAATAAGGTGAAAGAGTAAGTGAAAAAATAAAAGTTGCTGTTTTAAAAGAAAAGTCCTGTGGACACCTATTCTTACCTCCTGTTCCTCTAACCACTTTGTTACCAACTGCATAGAACAGTAAGGCATATTTACACAGTACATATATCAGAAAGACCGCTCAGTGAAATACTTAGCTTATCTTACCGTTTTAACATGCCCTGGAAATAAAGAGGCCATCTTAACAGGCAATGCCTCTACTAGCTCTCAACAGCCCACCAGGGAACTACCACCACTAAACATCAGATCTCACTGGAATCTTGCTTCATGAGAACCATATCTGCCAAAACGCAGTATTTTTGTATTAAATACAATGCTTTAAAGCATAACAGAAAACATCTTCCTGCCCAGAGAGAGAAGAGCACTGGTAACGCACAGGAAAAGCAGTGAGGGGGAGAGGAATTCCCTGCGCAGTGCAGAGGAAGCATCTGTCATACAAGCGAAAGGCAGCAGAGAAATCAGGGTGCACCCTGAAGCCGAGAAATCGGGGTGCGCCTCGCTGCCCCGGGGCACGGCTGGGGTTAAGGAGCACTGCTCCCCTGGCAATCAGAAGTGCAGCACGCTGGGGAAGATGAGCTCTCTCTCATCTTCTTGTACAAAAGGATTGTAAGGAGGGGATCTGCTGTTTCATCATTTTGCTTCCAGCATAAATATTTGCATTTCTTTTTAACACGAGTTTAGGGCAAGCTGCTTTGCCAGGCAGGTGAGAAACCTTTGTTCACAGGTGCCTGAGCAACTGCTGAGGTTGTAAGCCTTGGTGATGCTAAATACTATTTGCAGAGCCTGGAATCCTGATAAACCACAAGGCTTTCTGTTTGTTTTTAAAATAAGAAAAAGCCTTTTTTGTTTGCTTTTATTAACAGAAATGTTTGAAAATAGTACTGACACTCCCTACTACTAAGCTTGGGTGGCTTAAACCACCTGCGTCCCTCACAAAGTATCCAAAACATGCCCAGGGGCATGAACCTACCTTATCTTTGTACTCTGAGAACTAGCACCTTGCATCTCTGTTCTACAGATACTCCTTATCATATCTTAAAAGCTGGACAAGTATCACTGAAGCAGCTTAAGAAAAAGGGGAACAGAAGCATTAAAAGCTTGCCCCACGCTGCCAGGAAAATTACAGGTAGAGCTTACATCCACATACAGCCCACGTTTGTGCATCCGAGGTGCGTGAGCACAATTTACATCAGTATTTCAGAAACACTGCTGAGCCTCAGCAAGAAACAATGGTCTCTTGTGATTAGAGTATCAGAACCAAGACTGTTGACAGCACCTGCACCTTATGGTGTGAATTTCGGGGTTGTCCTGTGCAGGGACAGCAGTTGGACTCGATGATCCTTGCAGGTCCCTTCCAACTCAGGACGCTCTACGATTCTATGACCTCTGGCCAATGCAGCGCTGTCCTTGGACTGTCAACACTGGGCACAAGAGTTATGGATCATAAAAATATTTAAGTTAAGCTTGAGTTTCTGTGGTTAAGCTGACCCTTCTCAATTCTGGTTCTGAAATGAACAGCTGTTTTTTAAGGAAGCCACAGGAGAGCTCAGGGCCTGCTCTTGCTGAGATGGTGGGGCCTTGTGCAGGGACAAGTGAACGCTTTGATGGTGAAACTTGAGTTAAAAAATACCTAGGAAGGGAAACAACTTATTATCAGTATTAGTTCACAGACCACATAGACAGCATTACTGAAGGCAGCAGTTTAACAACGTGTAATCACTACTAAAATGTTAGGGTCAAGAGATAAAACCAGTGGGAGGGTTTTCTTTTTTTCCTTCATCTGTAACAAAAAAAAACATCAAAAGTGACACATCAGAGATCAGTAAGCATTTGAATGTTATGGAGGGAAAAGTGGTCACCTTCCTAGTTCAAATCTCTTACAAATATTACCTTCCTCTGCTTCCCGAAAGAATAATTTCAAAGACTTTAGGGAACATAATCAGCATCTTACAAGAGCTGGCTGCATAAATTATCTCAAGGTGCTACCAAGATTCACTGCAACATACCCATGATCAGGAGTCATGATTTTTCCATTTCTATTTTTCCCTTCCATAAAACTATATATTATCCATAATGATTATGCAAATCCACACCATTAGCACAAAGCAGCAAGGAGAATGAAATCAAACATCATGCCAAGTTATCAATTGTCTCTGCCCTGACTCGCACTGCAATGCAAGCATCTATTCAATTAAGCTTCCTGATAATTAAAGGCCTTTCAGCTCTGCGCATATGCATGTAATCATTACCCCACCCTGTTCTGGCAGTCTTTGCACCATTCTGCTGCTTAATCCCTCAGCTGTGCTGCAGGGGGACAGGAGGGGAGCACTAGACTTCTGGCAGGAATGTGAAGCGTGGGGAGCCCTGCACCCCGCTGCTTTCAGCAAGGCACCCCCGTTTTCCCTCAAGAAGGATCGCACCCACCTCTGGGAAGCAAAGCCAAATGCAGCCCTGCTCATCCCTAAATCAAACAGCACTTACAAAGGCTACGGGACAAGAAAAACTGTGACCTGTAGTTTCCAGAGGTTCTAGCCGAGGGCAACCAAGCAGCAGGACCGAGGCAGAGGGCACCTGGGTGGCTGCCCGCCCTTACTTCACCACATGCTCATTCAGAGAATAAAACCTTTTACCCTTCAAATGGGGGTTAAGTAATGACTTATTACAGTTATGTTCTTCTATCGCAACTGTGTCTTATGGAAAAAAGTCTTTGCAAGACTTTGAAGACAAAAACGCCACTATTAAATGCAGTTCAGTAAATCGCGCTCCCAGAGATGGGAGTAGAGGCTCTTGCTTTTGCCACTCAAGACTTACACGTCTCTCAGCAAGAAATTCAGCAGGTTATGACTCAAGCTGCCAGACCACACTGTGTTGATTCCAGAACAACAGACTTTGGGACAGTCCTGGTCATGGGTCACAACCTTACACGCTGCTGTTGTCAATCATGGGTTTGCTTCAAAGTAAAATGCTGTCATGGCAGATATTCAAAATTCAGTCCAAGAGTTTTGAAACCACTGGCTTTAACATTTAACACCCACAAATACACCAGTGGTAACTGAGCATGTGAGTACAAAGAGCCTGTGTTTTCCAGCTCAACTTCTACAGACGGTGCATTTTTGCACGTTTTCTCTTCCAGACGGTGATTAGTAATTTACCCTTTGAACACCTCCATTAAGACCTTACTGCTTAGAGCACAGGGAGAACATCAGAAGAGCCTATTACCTCCCCACCGAACACCCCGCTAGCTATTGCGCCAACACAGGGTAAGGCTGTACTAAGACTTTTTCAAAAAAGGGAAGTTCTCCACCAGTTACTACTTTCCTCGTTTGTTCTTAAATAGAAACGACAAGCAAACCAGGCCATAATTTCTGAGGGGAAAGCATCAGAAGCCAGTTCACCAGTCTCTTGCAACGCATGGTCACCAGTTCATAACGCGCACGCAGGAGCTGGTGATCTCTAACGCTACCGCAAAACACACGTGCCAAGTTCTGTAACTAAAGGTTGCAAAGTTATTTCCCCCCAAATCCTCCTCTTCCAACACACATTTTCTTTCTATATAGAACAGTTTCACGTAATTCAGGGGGGTGGCAGACACGGCAAACCGGGAGACCACAACACAGAAACACTTGTTTATGTGAGTTACTTTAAAAAAAAAAAAAAAAGACGTTTACAGAGCGCTGGAAAAATCTGTCCTCCCCCCCCCACGGGGCCCCGCCTGCCCTACCCCCGGCCGTAACT